AAAACAAACAGGCAAACTGTGGCTGCCTGCAGAGCTGCTTGGATTTGGGAGCAGTAGACGGGGTGTGGGGTGTGGGGGGATGTTCTGCTATGGAGGATTCTGGGGGCCGGAGGATTCCTGGAGGCCGGCATGTCCCAGAGCAGAGTCGCAGTCCTCGGAGGTTACTGGCCTTGTCCCTTCCTGTCTCTGAGACTGTGTGTGGGGAGGCATTGCCTCCTGGAAAGGCATGAAGATGAGGCTTAACTCCCTGTGGAGACTTGAGAGGCTCAGCCCAGCCACAGATCTGACAGATGGAGAACCCCATGCTCAGGAAGGTTGGGGACCCCACATCCAGTGGCTCTCAGCACAGAGGACCCAGCCCTGTCCTCTCCCCTCCAGCCTGAACCAGCTCTGAGGTCCAGGGGTCCTGCGGTTGGTTTTCAGGAGACTGTGGTGAGCGCAGGCCGTGGAGAAGCAGCCTCGGCAGAGCCCACGTGACTCTCTGGAGGTCACTTCTGGCCGTGGCTCCTCCACAGAGGCGGCTCTCCCACAGAAGACACCATGGAAGTTCTCTGAAGGTCCTGTTTCTCTGTCTCCAAGTCAGGCCAGCCGGGGCCCATGGTGAGGGCTGATGGGGGAGTGCGCTCAGCTTTGGTGGTCTGAGGTGTCATGGCTACCAGGCAGATGTAGTCTCCGCTGGGGACCTGCCTCGGGCCCAGCCACAGACTCCGCATCTGCCAGCAACAGTTTCTTTTTTTAATCTCTGAAAAACACAGCCTGCCCAGCCTTTAGCAACACAGCTGTGGCGGGTGGGGGATGATTATGGCCAGAGTGGCGGCAATACCGAGGGGCAGGAGCAGGGGAGTGGCTGATTGTAGTAGTTCTGGTTCTAATAAACCATGGCCTGTGTTATTTTTGGTCGCATCCATCCATCCAGCCAAAGGACACTGGGGTTATGTTCTGTATAGGAAGTGCTGTGGCTCCCACTTACAGAGGCGGCCGGTGCTGTGAACCCAACTCCCTTTATGCTGGCTTTGTAGGGGGGCCTAGGGGCTGGACCACGTGCTACTGAGCATGGCGATGGGATGCCTGGGTACAGAGGACAGAGGAACCACTGACCCCAGATCCTCACAGACCAGAGCCATGCACACTTGGCCGTGGGAACTCTACCATCTCTGCATCCGTGGCTGGAGCGGCTGGAGATGCATGCTGCTGAGGTGGGAACCCTGGCTGTGCCTGTCCAGGGGCAGGAGCACTGGTGGCCCTGTCCGTGTCCCGCACTGTGAGTGAGGCAGCATCACTGGTATCAGCTATACACACACACACACACACACACACACACACACACACACACGCACACGCACACGCACACGCACACGCACACGCACACGCACACAGCACAGATGAATGAACAACCTGGATGCTTCCGTCAGAGACTTCAGACTGACTGGGTGAAGGAGACATGTATTTGGGTCATTTCATGTGACAGCCAGGAGAGTAACAGTTTGCCAACAGTTATTCATTCACCAAACACTCCTAAGCTCACTGTGGTCCAGGCACAGTGCCAGGCACGGCATGAACGATGGTCACCAGATGCAGCACTGGCCTCCACAGTCTTCAGAGCTGGAGGTGTAGGGCCCGCCTTGGTGGGGACTTCAGGGAGAGAGGCAGACAGGCCAGGGCGGCTCAGGCTGCTGTCCCCAGCCTCTCCCTAGCATTCCACTAGAGTCTGGAAGTCAGGGCTCCAGCAGCCAGGATAGCTGACCGCCCTGCCTGGGCCCAGTAAACACCAGGTGGCTCTCTGCAGGCGGGCCACAGTGAAGGAGGCCGCAGCTCCGTTAGCCACCCTGTCTCCCCAGGACAAGGCGGGCCACTCCTCGGGCCTCTCAAGGAAGCCACATCTGCAGTCTGGGCCCCGAGTTCGCAGCTTTGCAAGGACCGCGTGGTCTGTCCCTGGCTGTCTCACGCGGCCTCTTAGGCAGGCACCCTTTCGGGATGGCCAGAGCCCAGGGAGAGGGGGCAGCCAGCTGCCAGCTTCCGGGGCTGAGGGACTCTTCTTGGGGCTAGCTCCAGGACACCTGTTACACTGTGTAGAGTGGGTCCGGGGGTGAATTGCTCCCTTGGTCTGGGGGCACGGGATTGCTCGAGGTTCAGGGGTAAGAGCGCTCTTCCCCACAGGCCGTGAGACCTGGGGCAGGTGGAGTCACGTCTCTGGGCCTCAGTTTCCTTCCTTGGCATGCTTGTGACAGGAGTGTGTAAATGAGCATGCCACAGGGGGGCATATGCCACGTGTGTGCTCGGCTGTGAGAAGCGGCCCTGCGGGTGGGTGGGGGGGTTCCAGTGACGCACCGGGTGGGTGTAGCGCGCCCCTCGGCGTCCCTGAGCTCTGCTGTACTTTGCCGGGTGTGCGCTGGGAAGCTGGGTTCCCTGACCCTCGACCTGTGGGGGTGAGGAGGGGTCTCCGCCATGTCTTTGGGGTGCAGGGGTGGTGAGCTGGCGCGCGCATGGGGCTAGGGGGTAGGAGGGAAGGCTTCCTGGAGCGGGTGACAACCGAGTGCCGTGGGAGCGGGAGCCGCTGGCGGGGCGGGCGTGGAGGGGTGGCGAGTCCCAGCTTCCGGAGGTGGAGGTGCAGGTGTGTGTGTGTGTGTGTGTTGGGGGGGGACGGGACCCGGGCGCTCGCTCTTTAAAAGGCTGGCGGAAGCGTGGCGCGCTCGACCCGCACTCGCGGCGCAAACTTGCGGGCTGGGCTCGCGCGTGCGGTGCG